GTAATATAGTAGCCAATAGAAATACAAGCGCAGGTAATCAACCAATGTATGGTAACTCGTCGCTAGCAGTATCAAGCTCGGAGCACTCGCATGGTCGAACTCACGCTGGCGGCACCACACGTTGTACGACACATCTCGCGCGTCCCGCGTATTCACCCGCGCTTCCCGCCGCTGATGTCGGTGCCGCTCGCACAGACAGCTCCGCAGCTACCAACTCGGACGGCAACACAAATGATGTCACATTATGCTCGCTGTCTTCCGCTCGCCTACAACTGTTTTGCTTGCGACCGCTCGAGTTGTAATGGTTGATACTCATGGCAAACCGCATCTTGTTCGCGCCCTTTTAGATAGCGCCTCACAGAGTAATTTTATTACTCGTGAATGTTGTCAACGCCTTGGATTAAAATATAGTAACCAGCCTACGTACCCCGTAGTCAAGGGCATAGGGGGGTCTACTAAGGACATCCAAGGGTCCGTAAAAATTAAATTTGAATCACGTTTTAGCTCGAATGTTTCATTCGAAATAAACTCGCTGGTTGTAGATAAAGTAACGGAGCAACTTCCTACTGTTTCTGTAGATACCTCGTGTTAACTAACTTTGATAGTTTGCCGTTAGCCGATGATACTTACGCCGTTCCAGGAGCCGTCGATATTTTGATTGGCGCTTCGATTTTCCCGCACCTCCTGCTGCCACGTAGGGTTCAAGGTCATTCGGCGAACCCCGCACCGCACGTTTTAGAAACTGTTCTCGGTTTTGTTATAGTTGAATCCGGACCCGCTCTTATAAATAGTTACTCGACCGTATCATACTGCTGCGCCGTTGAGCCGCCACTGGAGTCCAACGTCCGCCGCTTTTGGGAAATTGAAGAAGTAAATGTTCCGCTGGTTATCCTGATGATAAGACCGCTGAGGATATTTATTGTAGCACGACCACCCGCGATGAAAGTGGTCGTTATATTGTCGCACTCCCATTTAAGGGTGATTGATACCTTTTCGCTTGGTGATTCGCGCCTAATGGCAGAAAAACGGTTTTTTTGCTTAGAGCGTAAGATGATGGCATCTCCGAAGTTGAAACAGGCCTACGACGATGTCGTGAATGAATACGTAGATAAGGGTGTCATCTCACCTGCTCCCGCTGTACTTGATGAGACGCAAAATGGTCCCTCTTATGTCATCCCGCATCATGGTGTCATTAGGGAGGATAAACTCACCACAAAATTGCGTGTTGTTCTAGATGGCAGTGCTAAGACTAGTACTTCTGTTTCTTTAAACGACATCTTGTATTGTGGTAAAAATCTTCAAGGTGACTTGTTTGATATTATCGTCAATTTTCGTTTATTTGTTGTAGCGCTATCTGCAGACATTAGACAAATGTTTCTTTGTATTGGCATTCGGGAATCTGATCGTAGATTCCAAAGATTTTAAATAGGTTTTCCCCACACGAACCATTAAAGGTTTACCAGTTTAACCGCGTTTGTTTCGGACTTAAGTCAAGTCCTTTTCACGCGCTTCGCACTGTGAAGCAGTTAGTTCTTGATGAGGGTGATTCCTACCCCAAGGCAAAAGCTACCATCAATACTGGTCTGTATATGGACGACTTTGCTTATAGTGTAGATAACGAGCTTGAAGCCATCGAAACAGCTACTCAAGTGATAAGCCTAAATGAAGACTGGGCAATTTGACCTTGTTAAGTGGACGAGCAACTTTCAACGTGTTTTGGACTGGATTCCACCATCGCATCGTCTATCGACGGTTAAGGATTTTGATGTCAATGATACACATAAGATTCTCGGCTTGAGCTGGTCTCCCACATCCGATACATTCAGTCTCAAAATTAGTTCGATCCCGCCAACTTGTACCAAACGCACCATATTGTCTTGTGTCGCTCGCATATGGGACATTATGGGTTTTGTAGCACCTGTAGTGTTATACGCGAAGCTTCTTATTAAAGAGCTTTGGCTTTCTCAGTGTGACTGGGATGACATCGCACCAGACAACGCGGCCAGATTATGGGCTCGCTTTAGGGAAGAGCTTTCTTTGCTCGCACAGATAGAAATCCCACGTCATGTAGGTATCTCTCGAGATAGTGTAGTCACAATAGTGGGGTTCGCAGATGCTAGTGAGAAGGCTTATGGAGGAGTGATGTATTTTCACGTTTGCAATGGCGACAATATTACAGTTAGCCTTATTAGTGCGAAATCTAAGGTCTCCCCTCGAAAGGTCGTCTCTCTCGCGCGCCTTGAGCTTTGCGCTTTATTACTATTGACGCGGCTCATTGGTGCCATAGTCAAGGGTTGTAACAGCCGCATTAATATTGATAGAATTGCTGGCTTTTCTGACTCAACCGTGGCTTTGTGTTGGGCTCTTTCTTCTCCCCACCGTTGGGACACATTTGTTGCTAATAGAGTAACAGAAATTCAATCTGATTTATCAACTCAAAATCTATATTACGTCGCTGGAACAGACAATCCTGCCGATTGTCTTTCGCGGGGTTTAACCCCCGCTCAAATATTAGATCATCCGCTCTGGTTTCATGGTCCATCATGGGTACGAGATGCACCCTGTGATTGGCCAGTTAAGCTCTTCAATCCCGCGACTGTCTCTGAACCGCCAGAAGAAAAACGGCACACTCTTGTTACTTCTGCGCCAAGAGAAGACACAGTTATATTATTGTTGGCTAGTCGTGTTTCGTCATGGTCAAAGTTGTTACGTTGCGTGGTATATGTTTGCCGCTTTGCTAAACTGTTACCACAGCAGCAGTACATAGTCGCCTCTGACTTTTATAAGGCAGAGCTTATCGTTTTTCGTGAACTGCAACGAGCGCATTTCGTTTCAGAAATTAATAGCCTAGAGGCTAATAAGCCTTGCAGGCGTCCTTTTCAAAATTTGAAGCCTTTCTTACAGGATGGACTCATCCGAGTAGGTGGTCGTTTGAATCAGTCCAACTTAGGATTTGATCAAAAATACCCCATAGTTTTACCGCGTAAGGGCCACATCCTTGATTTACTGGTCGATTATTATCACAAACTTCACTATTAGATATAAGATATTCGTTAGATTTAGTTTAATATAAATACATAGATATAGATAGATAGATAGATCTTCGCATAGGTGTTTGGTAGGTTAGCTTTTTATTTCTTGAAGGTAACCCTTCAAACTGGGGGGGGAATGGTTGTGCCAGCGTCATAACAGATTTGTAGATAGATGTTTTTATAATAATATGGCAGCTATGGCACTTTTCCCTTCCGCTTCCTCACCCATCCCCCGCGCCCTGGATTGGCTAGTACGAGCGACGCGGACACAGAAAAGAAAAAGAAGAAAAATATGGCGGTTACCTCGCGCGCGCTCCGCATTACAGAAATCGGTTATTTTGTGATTTAATTATTGAGAGGGCCTAAGACTTCATTCTTATACAACATCAGTGTCAGTGTATTACAGTGTCGTGCAAGATAGAAGATACACCAACTGGCTTTTAGCAGCCGTGATTCGGACGACTCCATCGTCTCCGGGTACGGCGTTTTCCTTCACAATTTCCCTCGGGTTGTGTTCCTTTGTTTCTTCCCGCCACGGCCCGAGAAAGTGTCATAGTTAAACAACGCAAATACAGTCCACACTCATTTTTGTAATAGATGACCGTTACAATTTTGGTCTACCAACCGCATAGCGCAACCATGGTTCTAGGTGCTATCTTCATCTCCCGAGATACAATCTTTTGCTTTCGGGCAGGATTTCTTCGAATTCTTTCCTCTCCTGCTTTGACCACCTTTTTCATACGTACACTACGTGGACAGCCAGATCTTTTTCTGTCACAAGCAGAGGAGGTCTCATTGCATCTATTAATAGCCCGGTACACAAACATTTTACTAATACCAAGCGGCTCCATACCTACTTTGTGTAATACAATCACAGCGATTCGGTTCTCTTTATCACCCCACTCCATTTTAATATCGCAAAATATTGTACAATGTATTGGCACCAAAATGAGAAAACTCAATGAGCAATCTTATAAAAATGACAGATTCCAAATTCAAATGTAATATTTTGTTTATTTTTAATTGTAACAGTATTTATGGTCAGACTAGGTATGTATATACTCTTTGTTTACTATCAAACTTTTGGTATTGCTTAAGCTCTGTGGACTTTTTGGCGGGAACGCGAGAAGTGATGTTGTGTGATTTGTTTTATTTGGTCTATTTAGTTTCTTCAGGTTTAAATGCTTAGTAACGGTGGTTTATTAATTATTTAATATCTGTGAAAGTGCACAAATGTGGGAAAATGAAACAAACTCGCTGGACGAAACTTCTTGAGATTCTCCAAAAAGTCCACTGAAAAAGTCTCAGTAAATTACCACTATTTTACTGAGATTATATTTCATCCCATATCATCTCATCTCATTTCATTTCATTTCATCCCAGTAGATTAATGTCTCAAATTAATCATCTTCATTTCATTTCATTTCACTCCATACTATCATTTTTCATAAAAATACGATATAAATTAAAATAAAACATGACTCAAAGGTCTTTGTTACCAGAACATAAAATTCCTTAAAAAAAAGCATAAACTCTGTGGTCCAATTGAGGATAGTAATATTGTTTATCTTTAATATTATTCGTCTATAATGTAGTCTTAGCGAAATTTGTGATTTTAAAAGTCTTTGACATTATAACCATATTAATGTTCAAACTTATAATTTCAAGTAATTATAATTAGTCGAATTTCAACTACTGTGGGACCACTAGTCTTATTATAATTTGAATAATATAAAACAAAAAAATTTTTGGATAAGATTTCTAATGACTATAAAATTTATAACACGAACGAATTAAAAAAAAATTGTTGATTACATACCTAGTATGTTAGATTTAGGGTAGGTAGTTTAAAGTAGGTAGCTATTTAACGTTTATCATAAAGGGTTCATAAAAGTTAGTTTTTGAAAGATTTTGACATTTCCTACTAATGTTCGCTGTGATGTATGACAGTTATGACACTTGTATGATATGTTGACAGACACGAAAGTAACATCGGATAATTTGGAAATTTATTTTATTTTAATTAATATTTAAAATTCCGTACCATTCAACCGGTTCGTCGGTATTTGTATCTGTAAATCAAAGGGATATTGTGCTTAGATTATCAAAAAACATAACTCGAGTGCTAGTGTTAAAGAGTATTGACTGTTGCGGAACAAGGGCAAATTCGTGAAGTTTCCATGGTCTTATACGAGGAATGGCCGATTTTATCGACGAGGCTAGTACATCACAACGTGGACAGTGAGTATAACTTTAGCTTTTGCGTTGTTTCTATGTTTTAAAATGCTGCAAACAGCTACCAGAGGTCGTCACATTAGAGCACAGATACTGCATTAAAAAGCACAACAATTAAGTATAAAATCTGAAATATGTATCTTTTAATTGTTACTACATCATAATATGTACACAGCAATGTTTAGGCTTTGCAATTGTAACAGATAATATGATTTTAAAACAAATTGCATTGCTTTGTGCAACTTTGCTAAACACTATTTTGAAACCACAATAGTGAAGAGATTGTATCTTGTATATACTGTGATGTAATAACAGAAAAATCATTGCTAGTATGTTATAATACCGAGAGGGCTGGTGGTTGTGGCGCCGACAACCGCCAGTCCGGCGTCCCGAGGGGTAGGATGATGGGAGAGATGTGCTGTTATTATGACTCTTCTCATAGCCACATCATCTAAATTTTAAAATGACACAAGGGAAAATATGTTATGGTTATATTTAAAAAGAAATCCTCATAATGGTAATCAATCTCACAACCCACCTAGTACTGGTTGTTGATTACAGGAGCCGATGGAAATGACAATGTGAATGCTGCCTTGAAGCAAGAGCTTCAAGTCTCAATTGTATAGTTTAATACCTGTCCTACCATTGAGGGCACCTTGCAGTATAGCAAGTCAGAATTTGACTGCTTTTAAAAAAATATATTCATAAAAGATATTTATAATGTTATTTTAATTTTGTAGGTATGTTTTATTACTTATAAATTATTACATAACTGGAAATATAAAGAAAATTATTATTTATAAATGGCCCTGAAGTCATTGCTTTGAAAAAATTTAACCTTGCTGCTGTATATGTGCACACTTACCTGAAATTAAACAATTAAAAACTTATTCTTAATTAATATGAGTATACTTATCGCAGAAAGTATAATGAAAAAAATAAATAACAAAATGCCGTATTGTCAAAATTACAATTTGGAAACCAGATTTTTACAAGGTTTATTTTAAAACAAATTAAAAAAGTAAAACAACTTAAAACAATTATAAATATTTGATGAAAATTTTTCATTTTCGTCCTAGCCATGGCTGCCAGTGTACTTAATAACATTTTAATTTTGAATGAATCAGTCGAGTATTTTTTTTAATTGATCAACTTAAGACAGAAAAAAGTAGTATTGAGATAAACTTTTTTTAAATTTCAAATAAGTAGTTTCTCAAAAAAAATTGAATTAGATGTGTACTTACATTAGTCTGCAATTCCAGCACCATACAGTATGCCTTCAGTCTTCTCATACCACCATTACATTATTTACCTACTTAATAACTGTAATAACTGTGGGAATGTAAAAAAACTGTTATGTATTTAATAATGCAATAAGTCATACAATGTTTGACATTCTATTCTAATTCGTCAGTACTTCTTAGCTTATTTGCAGAGGTACTACTATATTCTGTTATAGTTTCACTTCTATATCGATTACCCTTGAACATTTTTTACAACAACAAGCTTTGGAGCTTGGTCTTCTACTAGTACTACTTTGATACAATCCATTTTTTTAAATACATTTTTTTAACAGTAATGCTTTTCTTCAATGTTATTTTGACTTAAGAGCTATCCCTCCGGGAGCCGTGCTTTTTAGTCCTATGCGAAAATTGCAGAAGGAAGCTCTCGCCGGTCTAGTCTCTCACCACGACGCAAGTCCGTTGACAGTCTGTCCCATATTATGAAAGAAAAGGCTGACCTTCTGATCAAACTCTTCGCCTCGAACTAAGCTATGGATGACGGTGCCACACCACCGAACATCCGCCGGTGTGATAGCTCTATGACGGAGATCTACTGCACACAGTTGCAGACAGGCGGGAGCTCTGGGCCCTAGACGTCCATAAATCGAATGGACCAGATTGCATGGCTGCAGTCCTTTTGAAAGCATGGACCCCTGAGCTGACACCTGCGCTAACGTGTTTTTATCGCCTCTGGTATAGTATTAACAGGATTCCGTTCGAAGGGTGAACGGTCGGAACCATCGATTTATCGCGATAACTTCCTTGCTTTCCAAGGTGATGGACCGAATAATAATTACGCAACTCCTGAAGTATCTTGAGGATCACTAGCTGATCAGTGACCGACAGTACAGTTTCTGTCATGGTCGCTCAGCTGGCGATCTTTTTGTATACTCACAGGTGGGTGGTGAAGTCTTGGAGAGCAAGGGCGAGGATCTCGCTGTAAACCTGGATATCGCGAAGGCTTTTGGCAGGGTCTGGCATTGGGCACTTCTGTCGAACTTACTATCTTACGGAAACTCCGAGAGAGTTTGTAAGTGGATAGCTAGGATCCCCGCTAATCTCAACACCTTATGGGCTTATATGAAGACGTATGCCTTATACCCTGAGCCTTTGCTCGCCCATTTGTTCTGGTGAAACTGGCAAGGCCTCAGGGCCACCAGTAAACCTTCAATCATAAAAAAAACCTTATACACTGAGAACAACTTAACAACTAAAACAAGAAACCAATATTTTACAAGAATAAATTTCAGACATACAACTGAAATGTATCACTTCAGATTTTGCGCTAAACATTTTTTCAATCTATATTGTTTCTGTTTATTATATTCCTGTGATTATTCAACGTTACATACATTTATTTATACGTCATGGTCAGTTGCTTTGAATTTTGTTAGGCATTCATTGGTATGTGCATTTCTGTGAGCATTAACATCCTTGAAACATTAAATATGGATATGGAGCAAAGTGAGGCTATCATCATGAAAAATCAAATGTACTCTTTTTGAAGTGAATAAAGTAGGTGTTCTAAGAGGTACCTACAAATGTTACTAGTGAGATTGATTAGAAATAGATTTCATAATTCGTCAATCACTATAAATATATCAGATGACATCCACACTCGAACTATACAACCTTTGGCTATATATAATATAATTTAGGTACTATAAATATTGCTAAGGCCTAATAAAACTCGAAGGGCTTAATTATTATTAAATAATTATAATTATAAAGTGATCTGGATAACTTCACTGCTTGATACTTACTACCTTCAGCAAATAAAGGCAATATTAGAAATAACTAAACTTGAGACCTTAGAACTTATATCTCAGGGTGGGTGGCGCATTTATGTTGTGGATGTCTATGGGCTCCAGTAACCGCTTAACATCAGGTGGGCTGTAAGCTCGTCCGCCAATCAAAAGCAATAAAAAAAAAACTAAACATAATACCATTTAAAAATATGAAGTTCATTCGATCAGGATTAGACGACGGCCAGTCTTGAACTCTCGTGAAGTCAAGAAAGGATCAATCTTTGTTATGGAACATGGTGTTGTTAAGAGGGCTAACCACCTTCTCTAGAATCGTGATACATACATCGCGGGCGAAGCTTTGAAACCTTTTTCACAAAATTATGGTCTAGTCACTAAAATTGCTAACTAACATTCCTACAAACCGTCATTAAAGCCGCTTAATATCTACGTTCTAACTCTACTGACTTATTGAAAAGCTTTGGTAAACCTTTGAGCAAACGACTGACCGGAAGTAATTGTTTCAAGTAGGTTTTTAATCTTACCACTGTATTTAAAAAAAAATATTATCGATTGAGTACATAGTGTCCAGTGCGTTTCTTATAAGCTGCCACTTTTAAATCGCCGTGATAAAGCGATCGGTGTACTCGTTACGAGCGATGCGACCATACCGGTGTCAAAAACCCGCAGGCGGGTACCAATTCTTTCCATTAAATATAGATCTATATTTAATGGAAAGAATTTAGAATTAGAATCTAGAATTTGGAGTACATATATATAGAGATATATGAAGAGATAACATCGTGTTATAAAAATAAATAACGCGTAGGAATTAAAATATGTAAAAGACAGCTTCCAAATTCAAATGTGAAATATGTATATTTTTTTATAACTAACTCTGTTTAACAACTTTTGTTCGGAACGCGAGATGCTTAGTTTTGTGAATTGTTTTATTTTGTTAATTCAGTGTTTAATTATGGCTTATAAATCGTTTATATTAAAATAAAGCAAAATCCCTAAATGTATTTTCTCAAGTTCTTCCAAAAAGTCCACTGAACTCTCAGTACATACTCGCCATTTTACTGAAAGATTATTTCATTTCATCTCTGCCAGCACCTAATTGGTCCTATCTGATCTTATTTAATTTTATTTAATTCCACTCCATTGGATGGAGGAATAAAATAAAAACATAGTTTATGGCTAGTCTGTGTACATATTACCTAGAAAGTGTTTGTTGCACGGCTGGCAAAGAGTTGCCGATGTGGCACTAAATTGAAATTGCTTACAGGAAATTACTCAATAGCAAAGTTTTTGTTGTAAAATAATAGTAATCGTTTATATTTATATACGACAAGCCGTTTTCTTAGTCATAGAGCGTACCGAATTTGTGATTTTGTCTACGATTGCCCGAAAACCTTAAAAATCTTTTTCGGAATATAGTCGTCTCAACATGATATGAATCTCATAAAAAAAACTGGTTCTGCGGTGGCTTGTAACTTCCGCAATTATTAAAATCGGCGTACCATTTTAATTTTACAATTAGTTGATGATTAAAACACGAAAATTGATGTGTCTGTGCTTTACAAAATTCAAATGTACGTAAGTGTACGGTATTCGTGACGTAAGTACGCTGTTGTAATACTTTAAAAAAAAACATTAATATTCACGTAAACATAAGACACTTTTTGTAATTTGTCGCAAGATAGAACCCTTATTGTAGAATATTATGTCGTGCGCTGCGTCATCTACAATTTCAGATACAATAAGAATCTGATGTCACCACATATTTTGTAAAAAATCAAGTACTGAATTTATTGCTGGTCTCTCGTTTCAGTGGTCAAATTGCATTCCGAATCATATTAAAGTTATAACTGTTTAGAAGCGCCCTTATTTTTTATTCAGTCATTACTTTTTGAATCACAAATGTTCCTCTCGCTCATTGAAGTCGTCTTAGCTTAAAGGGTAATAAATAACACGC